TCTATCTATCTATCTATCTATCTATCTATCTATCTATCTATCTATCTATCTATCTATCTATCTATCTATCTATCTATCTATCTATCTATCTATCTATCTATCTATCTATCTATCTTATTCAAAGATTACAAAGCACGCCAAGTTTTTAATGCTACCAGATTTCAGAACAGAAAGGGAAAGATCAATCAATCAATGGAGTTCCAAAACACCAGGAATTGACTTTTATGTATTGTAGACTCAGAAAGACTGCATCTTTCCTTTCAGTTAGATAAAAATAAAACAATTCCTTTCCAATCTTTCAAATATCCTTGACATGATTCATGACCAAGGACCCACTCTAGAATCAAAACATGAAACACTTAAGATGAATTGCAGTAGGATCCAAAACTTTATTTACATTTTATTCAATATATTTGTAACAGAAATGACTTTTTCATTACCAAGCTCCTTCTCAGTACTACCTAACTGTGATAGCTACAAAAATATAATGCTTTCCATGATGTAAGAAGGGGAAAGCTGGATTAGTCCAAAGAACTATGTGTCCAGCATTCTGTTCACATCAAAGCCAACCAGGTGACTTTAGGAATCCTATAAAAAGCACACAAGATTGCCTTCGTTTTTAGGTTCTCCTGCACATAAAACCTCACAGTTCAGGTGGTACCAGGACATCCTGACCAGCAGCCAGAATTCTGCAAGTCAGGTCCAAATGCAGCATTGGCCATAGAAACACACACGAAATCCATGTCTTTCAAATAAACCATGCTTTTCATGAATTTGAACAACACCCTTTTAAAGCAATCCAGGTCGGCCTACACTGTGTGAAGAAATAAGAAGTGAAGGTTAGCTAGTCATTGATCAGTATAACTGATATGGGGCTACGGCATGGAATCCACTTTGATATAATTCTTGGTGAAATACCTAGACATAACTATTTATACTTTCACAGAGAGGATATGATGAGCTATTTGGGGCACATGCTGTACAAAACACTCAAGATTAAAAAGGAATTGGCACTAGCCTGAATTAAGACTGCAATGCATGACTTGCATTCCTTTTGCTGTACAACACCGCCAACGTCAAATGAGTGAAAGGTTAACAAGTTCATGATTACACTCCCACACTGCCCAGCCTTGATGGCTGGGGATGCAAAGGTATGGAAGTTCTACAGGTAACATTCACAAATGACAAAATGATGACATCGACGCTTCTCAACAATAGTATGAAAAAGGCCCAAGCTAGATGGCAATTTGGCTGAAAAGTAGAATGATGGCTACATGACCACTAGTTTTCCGAGGACGGCGTATAAAAATGCTGAATTGTTTTTGAGGACTCCTGCATGGTTCTAGACATCTGTCAGCAGTTATCCCTCTTCTATTGAGACATATCGTAAATATGATGAATGATTTGTCATTCTCTCTCAGATAAAGCCAGCTATTTAGCTGTATGGCATGACTCAGGTAAATTCCAGGACTGATAATAGGTCCAAAAGGGCATTGGCTTCATGTCTGCGGAACTGAAGCTAAATAACTCTCTTTTTGTCCTTTATTATAAGCTGCCCATGCTTATTCAACTCTGGGCGCACCAAGATGATAAAACATTTGGGGAAGAAAATACAGCCCAGCAAACCTCCACTGGAGGCTAAAATGGAAAATACCTCCACAGCTACTGTGTATTTTCCCTTGGTGCTCAAGTATGTTGGAACAAAGGACAGCCAAACGCAGCAGAAGACCAACATGCTGAAGGTGATGAATTTGGCTTCATTAAAACTGCTGGGTAGCTTCCTGGCAAGAAAAGCCATCGTGAAACTGATAATGGCTAGCAGACCCATAAAGCCCAAGACACAGTAGAGCATGATGGCTGATCCTTCATTGCATTCTAGTACAATTCCTTCAATCATTGAGTGCATATCGACATCCGGGAAAGGTGGAGACGTTGCCAACCACACGATGCAAATCGTTGCTTGAATCACGGAGCATGAAGAAACGATGAAGCTGCTCAGCCTTTTCCCCACCCACTTCCTCATCTTGGACCCTGGGATGGTGGCCAAGAATGCCAGAATCACTACGACAGTCTTGGCTAATATGCATGATAAAGCCATGGAGAAGATGACAGCAAAAGCAGTGTGTCGAAGAAAACAGGTCAGTTTCCGAGGCTGGCCAATGAATAGCAAGGTGCAAAGGAAGGAGAGCAGAAGAACAAGGAGGAGAGTGACGGTCAAATTTTGGTTGTTGGCTCTTACAACTGGGGTGTCCCAGTACTTTATGAAAATCCCAAGCACCAATACTGTGATTAATGAAAAAGAGACAGCAGAAGTGGCCAGAGTGATCCCCAAAGGTTCCTGATAAGACAAGAAGCTTATGTATTTTGGAACACATACATTATGGGCATTATTTGGATACTGGTCTTCTTGACACTGAATGCAGTCATCCATATCTGGAAAAGACAATAAGGTGTCTCTTTTGATTAATTAATTGATTGATTGATTGATCATTTTTCCAATTCCTTGCAAATATCAATCTAGCTGCTGTTAACATAATAACAATCAGTTCAATTTCCCCACCTAATGGACAGTTTCCAAATATATTTAACAATGCTAACATTGGACATCTTTGTAGATCTGTCCCTATAATTTCTTTAGTCTCATTAAATATAATCATCCATTCCTTCTGTCTTTATTCACATGCCCACTACATATGACAGTATGTTTCCCTTTCTTTTTTTACATCTCCAACATATAGATGATCACTCTTTAGTCAATTTCATTGGTGTTAAATACCATCTCTATATTACTTTATAGCAGTTTTCCTTGAAAATAAAGCATCTCTAATAACAATAATTGTGTCCTGTTTGCCATTCTCTTTTTTTAGGGCAGTGGTCCCCAACCTTGGGCCTCCAGATGTTCTTGGACTTCAGCTCCTGGAAATCCTGACCAGCAGAGGTGGTGGTGAAGGCTTCTGGGAGTTGTAGTCCAAGAATATCTGGAGGCCCAAGGTCGAGTACCACTGTTCTAGTGTCTTATACACTGAAAAATACGGTACTTTATAGCAGTTCACCTTGAAAATAAGGCATCTCTAATAACAATAATTGTGTCCTATTTGCCATTCTCTTCTTCTAGGGCATCCTGAGATTGTGCAGCTTGCCCAAGGCCACACAGGCTGGTTCTTTTCACTGTAGGCATAGTGGGGAATTGAACACCCAGTCTCTGGCTCCTAAACCACTGAGCTATCTAGTCAGCTAATAATTGTGTGCTGTCAAGTCAATCCTGACTTACAGAGACACTTTTTAGGGTCTTCTTTGTAGAGAATACTCAGAAGTGGTTTACCATTTTCTTCTTCTGGGGGCATCCTTGGTCTGCGCAGCTTGCCCAAGGCCACACAGGCTGGCCCTTCTAGGATGCACAGTGAGCAACTGAGCTCCCAACCTCTTGCTCTGCAGGTAGATATTTAAACCACTGAAAAAGTATTCTTGCTAGTTTGCAATAATGAAGAATTAATATTGAAGATGCTGAATTAGGGCATCTATCTTAACTCTTTGAGAAGAATCTTCTTGGCATTTCCACAACAGTTGGTGTAACATACTCCAGCTAATTCCCATTAACAGCTGAGATGTTGAGTCATATGTCATTTGTCCAATAAGTTAAATGTCTGGACATGAACAAGGTGCATCCTAACCTCTTAGAATAATTATCTTAAAACTGCAGAGCTGGAAGAGAGCCTATGAATCATCAAGTCCATCCTCTGTCAGGGAGGCACTGTGGGGAATTGAACTCTCAAGCAGTCACCGGAACCACTGAACTACCCAGCAGTTCTTGTCAATTAGCTGCAATTAGCCGCAACAAGAAATGCAAAGTTATATGAACAGCAATAGGATTCTGAATGTCAGAATGTTTACTGCCTAGGAAATTCTTGACACTATAGTCAAAACACACAAATCCATAAAACTCTAGGTAAAGGTAAAGGTAAAGGTTCCCCTTGACAATTTTTGTCCAGTCGTGTTCAACTCTAGGGGGCGGTGCTCATCCCCGTTTCCAAGCCATAGAGCCAGCGTTTGTCCGAAGACAATCTTCCGTGGTCACATGGCCAGTGCGACTTAGACACGGAACACTGTTACCTTCCCACCAAGGTGGTCCCTATTTATCTACTTGCATTTGCATGCTTTCGAACCGCTAGGTTGGCGGGAGCTGGGACAAGCGACGGGTGCTCACTCCGTTGCGTGGATTCGCTCTTACGACAGCTTGGTCTTCTGACCCTGCAGCACAGGTTTCTGCGGTTTAGCCCACAGCGCCACCACGTCCCTATAAAACTCTACTTTGAACAATTACTGGATTCACTCCGGAAAACCAATACCCAAACAGGAAAATTTATCTGCCTATTACAGATTATTTGCACTGCAGTATAGACTCCTCTTTATGCTATGATTGCTACCTTCTTAATCCAGAAACAAGAACACATGAGAATGTTGTCTGGAATGCATGGAAATATTTTCCCTTTCCCTATGGAATAGTTTGATCCCGAGTATTATTGAGAAGACAAGCAAGGGCTGCAAACCCTCAGCTATGAAAAATATACAGTATCTGAAATATTTATGACAACTATTCCCCCTGATGTGCAAAATCAATATTTTTCAACCCAATGATGTATTTTAAAAATCTTTATATCTTACCTTCTTGATTTGAAATCTTCCGTCTGGGACAGGCAACACAATCATAGCAGCAAAAGGGCTTTCCTTCCAATTTTATCTTATTATACCCAGGATGGCAATTTTCATTACACAAGGAAAGGGGTGGTGTCTGTCAATAAATGAATTTAAAATGTTTCAATGTTAAAAATTGTGCTTCATCCATCCTACTATATTCTTCTGATGGCATACAAATAATAGGGTATATTTGCTTATCTCATCTTATTGCTTAGGTGGCATTTGTTAAATGCTGGGTTTATATACATGATGGGTTTCTTAGTGTGAAGTCAGTTTGTATTTTGACTGATTATGCTACAAGGTCAAGATCATCAACATGCTTGTATTTCCAGTTACCATGTATGGTGTGAAAGTTGGACAGTAAAGAAAGCTGACAGGAGAAAAACTGATTTGCTTGAAATGTAGTGCTGGATGAGAGCTTTGCAGATACCCTGACTGCCAGAAAGACAAACAAGTGGATCCTAGATCAAATCAAGCTTGAACCATCTCTGGAGCCAAAAATGACACAACTGAAGCTGTCCCACTTTGGGCATATCATGAGAAGGCAGGATTCTCGGGAAAAGACCATAATGCTGGGAAAGTTGGAAGGCAGCAGGAAAAGAGGGAAGACCAAATATGAAATGGAGTGGCTCCCTAAAGGAAGCCATGGGTTTGCATTTGCAAGAGTTCAGCAGGATTGTTCAGGATATGATATTTTTCCATGTATAAGACTATACTTTTGTCTAAAATCTTTAAGCTAAAAATTGAGGGTCGTCTTATACACGGAAGTAAACTGAGGAGAGAAGAAAAACAAGTGGAGGGGAAAGCAGGGATCAAAGCTATCCTGCAGCACTTTGATCCCTTTCCCCCTACACTTGCTAAGCCCCACTTAGATTTCTTAATTTTGCATTAGAAAAGTGGAGGGTGTCTTATACATGAGGACATCTTATACACGGAGAAATACAGTAGCTCATTCATAGGGTCACAATAAATCAGAGGTGCATGGATGCTCTCTTGGTGTTCCTTTCCCAATGACTACATCTAGGTTTTCCCACATTAAATCTTTAACATGGAAAACACTATGAATATATGCCTCTCTTGCTATCTTACATGTGCCTTGATATGCTGATATTGTGTCTGAGAGCTGGAAAAGCAGGTATGATCCATAACATTTCAAGAGAAGTAAAAGTACAGTTAGCCGAATATAAAGAGTAAATGCCTATTTCAATTGGGGAATATTATATCATAGATAATGAAATATGAGCAGAAGCTACCTGGTTAAATATGCTAGGCCAGGTGATGTCATCCACTGAAATCCTTAACAACTTATTTGAGGAAGCCTTGGAGTCTAGGTTTCCAACTTTAACTCTGATGAAGGAGTTGTTTGAGCATCTGATCCAGTTGATAATGTCAAAACCAGCTTCTATCTTCCCATTTTTATCAAAGGAAACTTTTTCCCCAGCACTATTGTTAAATGAGACACTTCTCAGATAGTGGTGAAGCTACATGGAATCAAAAGAGAACAGTTAGCAAAGGCGTAAAAGGATATAGAAATATACGTAAAGGAGATGGCCTTTCAAACGTTATCATTGACTTTTAAATACATAGAATCATAGAATAATTGAGTTGGGAAGGGTTTATAAGACCATTGCATCCAACCCCTTGCTCAATGCAGAAATCCAAATCAAAGCTGATAGACCGTTGTTCAATTTTCTCTTGAATGTCTCCAGAGTTAGAACATTCACCACCTCCCGAGGTAATTGGTTCTATTGCCATACTGATCTAGAAGTTAAGACGTTTTTCTTGATATTCAACTGAAATCTAGCTTCTTGTAGCTTGAGGCCATTACTATGTGTCCTGCACTCTGGAATGATAGAGAACAGATCCTGCCCCTCTTCTGTCGGACTACCTTTGAAGTATTTGAAAGGCACTATCATATCTTCCCCCTCAGTCTTCTTTTTCTCAAGGCTAAGCATGCCCAATTCCTTCAATCTTTCCTCACAGGGCTTGGTTTCCAGCCCCCTGATCATCCTTGTTTCCCCTCTTCTGGACTTGCTCCAGCTTGCTGGCATCCTTCTCAAAATATGGTGTCCAGAACTGGACACAGTAGTCTAGATGAGGCCTAACCAGTGCTGAATAAATGCACTTGCATTCTGAATGCACTTGTGTAAACAAATTGAATTATTTTATTCTGTGTACAATATGTACAGTGTATTTCATTAATCCGGTACGGAGGATATGCTTCTGAGTGAGTGGCTTTCTCTTAACCTTCCCTCAAAAAGTTGCACCAATGAGTTTAGTCATTTCATTCATTTACTTCTTGTAAATATGGACTTGGACCAGAAGAGTCAATCTGCCAAGAAATGCTTTTGTTTTGTTTGTAGAATGTCATCATCCTCTACTCAGATAAAAAAGATCCTAGAGATTCTAGTTGACCTTCTGTTGAACCATGAGATCCATAGCTAAGAATTTTGGACAGGTCCAACCTGCCTTCTAAAACTGCCAACAAATGAGATTCCACACTTTCCAAAGTAGTTCATTCCAATGTGGAATCTGTTCAGAAATTCCTCTGAGTGATTAGACAAAGCCTGCTTTATCTTACTTTGTATCTATCATTTGGGATCCTATGCTCTGGAGCCACAGGAAACAAGCTTGCCCTTGTTTCTCTGTCATGGCCCTTCAGATATTTGAAGATGGCAATTTTATGATCTCTCAGTTGTGTATTCTCCAGGCTAAAGATACAAAGCTCCCTGCAGCCATTCCTCATGTGACTTCATTTCCATACCATCTTGGTTGCCTCCCCTTAGAACAAGTGTTAGAATGTGTTAAATGTTAAGAACAAGATGCTTAATATCATTCCTAAACTATGGAACCCAGAACTTGACACAGTATTCAGGGTGAGATGTGATCAAAGCAGAATATAATGGTGCTACCATTTCCCTTGATCTGGACACTATACTTCCATCAATGCCACCCAGTATTACATTTGGTTAGGGTTTTTTTGTTTTCGTTTTGTTTTGTGTGTTTTTTGTGGCCAAATCGCACTGACTCATGTTTAACTTGTGGTCTATGAAGACCCTTAGAGCCTTTTCAATGGTCACCTATTCTTTCTTACATGTAGAACACTACCTTCTTGATTTTTCTCTCTCTTGATTGAGTTCTCCAGTTCTCCAATAGTCAGTGTGAATCCTAATTTAGTTTTCTGAAATATTGGTTGCTCCTTCCAATTTGGTGTCATGTGCAATTTGATAAACATTATCTTCTACCAAATGTTTCCATTATTTTCACTTCAACATCCCCACCTCTTTTGTGTTGATGAGGACCAAATCCCGAATAGCTGAGTATCTAATCAATCCTTCCACTTCCTGAAATATCAAGTAGTCAGCAAAGAATTGTTTGGCCATAACAATTCCCTGCTGACAATTTAATCTTCCTGACACTGCCAACTAAGCTAAAAGGAAAAGTGAGAACTAACATAGTATTTACTTTCCAAGATTCCCAACTTGGTAAATATGTGTTATTCTATACCATTGGTTCCCAAACTTGGGTTTCTAGATGCTCTTCTACTACAGGTCCGAGCAATCTTGGTGAGCACAGTTAGTGGCGAAGGCTTTTGAGGAATTTTAGTTCAAGAATATCTAAGGACCCAAGGCTGGGTACCACTGGCCTATATAACTGGCAACTGATCTACCGTATTTTTAGTTCAAGAATATCTAAGGACCCAAGGCTGAGTACCACTGGCCTGTATAATTGGCAACTGATCTAGTACATATGTTAAAGCTGGAGATTACCTGCCAAAGCTGTTGATTCACAAGCATTCTGCTATATGCCACTGGTGTGCGTTTGGACTTGGATAAATGCATAGTTTGCAAAGCATGAGCTACAACATAGACTGCATTGTAGACACTGTAGCTTTGGCCAGTCATATTCATTTCAAAAACAGACCCAGGAAGAGTGTCCAACTTCTCTTCCCCGGTGCAGATTTTTTCAGTGTTTTCGTTCGAGATCGCATTAGTGAAGGAGCATTGAAACACTTGTTCCCAGAAGATCCTGATTAAGTTCTCTTCCTTTTCGGAAGTTGGGTTCCTCGTCTGGAGAAAGTGTTGGAATCCTAGTATCTCCTTTGAGGAAACTGCAAAGGATATCACACCATGCATAATCTCTATGTCCCAATCTTTCAGCAAGGGAAGTGTCGTAAATTCAATCTGGGCCATCATAATATAGACTTTACCTTTTGTCTTCATTTGTACATCCTCAAATTCTAGAACCTTGAGGAATATTCTCAAAAAGATCATGACCTGATTTTCACCATGGATGATCACCACAGTGGCGGTACTCTGTGCAATATATTTGTACCTTTCAACCCACATAGTTACCATTTCATCAATCTGAGTGAAGAAAGATGCTCTTGGAAGTTCTTGTATGAAATCATAACAAATGCCTCTTTGGGAGAAAAGGGGGACCACGTGCTGAACAAACATTTCCCCTCTCTCGTCTCCTAAAAAAATCACTCCAACCCATGTCCATTTGAAATTCAGCAACAGCTGGAGGATCCCTGCGTTTTGATGGTACTCATCAGGAAACATTTGGTGATAGAAATAAAACTGGGAATTTGTGGTCCCTGCTGGAGCAGATCCATATGTGAGCTGACGGTGAGGAAAAATAAAGAAATGAGAGGATGAACATCTCTTGTCATGTTCTGAGGTCTTTGTTCCACTACAGAATGACCAAAGTATAATGCTTTTCCAAAAGTTCAACAAGAGTTGATGAGGCCAACAGATTTTTCTGTGAGAGATCAGAAACAAGAAGGCACACTACCCTATCCATGTACTTAAGGTAACTGTGAACTGGCTGGATAGTTTAGTGGTTTAAGTATCTTGTTGCGGAGCCAGAGATGAGAAGTTTGATTCCCTACTGTGCCTCCTATGAGTAGAGGCAACCTGTGTAGTCTTGGGCAAGCTGCACAGTCCCAGGGAATTCCCAGATGAAGGGAATGGTAAACCACCTCTGAGTTTTCTCTACCTGGAAAATCCTGAAAATGGCCACCATGAGTCAGAATTGACTTGACAGCACATGATTTTTATATTATTAAGATGACTGTATCAGAAATCAATGCTCTCTTCAATGCTGGCTAGCAGCTATCATCCTTAAATTCACCCCAAACCAGAAGGCTACCGTATGTCTTTATCTTCAGGTTCCATGCATCAAGGTTCTGTCTTCAAACATCTTGCTTCTGTCTTCCAACATGCACCAAATGAAACACCCGCCACTTCCTGCTTAATAATGAGATTAGCTCTCAGATACCAGCTCATATTTTATTTAATATCTGACGCTATTAGTATTCATGGTCAAACCAAACCCAAATCTGTTCATCAAACACAATGGATTCAAATTTCCTTTGCCTCATTTTTTCCAAATCTAGAAAACATTTTCATATCCCCATGATTTTGGACATCTATTGATCCTCAAAGCTTTATAACAGTTAGGAATCCTTTAGCGGTAGACTGTCCAATTGATGAAAGGAGACCACAATTGTCTGCCTATTTAATAGCCCATTTGTTTGGTAGACTAATATTACACAAACAGTAATGGCAGAATGCGTTATGGTAGAAACTGGAGGGCCACTATGTGGTCATAACAACTCTCACATAAACCATTCTGCTAAGTTAGCAGATTTACATAGAGACAGATGCCTAATGAAGTTATTTGAAGAGAGGACACATCCTAGCAACCCAGCCTTTCTCCTGCTTGGTGTTCTGTTAGTCAAAAAATCTTTTGCCATCCTACATTGTGATCCAGTGGATACCTGAGTTCACTGCCCACACCCTGCACATTATAGATCACAACTCAATGCCAAAGACTTACACAGCCCTAAAACAACAACAACAACAACAACAACAACAACAACAACAACAACAACAACAACAACAGACGTCTCTCCCTATGTGAAATAGGCAATTCACAGAAATCTTACCAGTGGAATCTTGTAAAAATGCAATGCTGTTGCTACAAAACTAAAAATATGAGAGTTAGGTCCAACTATAACCGATACCACGTTATTCTGCTCATCACATTTGTAGTTGGGAACAAATCTGTCATGGGTGGAAAGAAGCTCCATAGAGGCAAGAGAAGTCCATTTTGCGACGAAATTACTGTTAAAGACATGGATGCCTAAGGTGATATTAGGTAGAAAAGAGGGATTTTCATTGATCTCCTTCACAGCAAATTCCAACGCCAGGATGTGTTGGTAGTTCTGAATAAAAAATCTATTGAGAAAATAAATTCCATGTAACAGTTCATTTACTGCAGAGCATGAAATTGATTACAATTGAATATAACATTGCTTGTTAATGACATTGTCCCCGAACAGAATATACAATGTGAAAATATGAAAATCAGCTGTTTCACGATGATAATTAATATGCAGCTTGAAACTTTTATTAGTATTTTTATTTCAACATTTTAATCTAATTTTAACATTTCTTATATGTTAGGAATGAGATTTAAGCACTGATTAACATAATCATTTTTCTACCCAATATTTGTAGTAGAAAAGGATAGACTAAGGCACCCTGTCTATATGTCCCTCCATGTGTGTGTGTGTGTGTGTGTTTTGTGAGGAAAACTAGAAAATGTTTTCCTTTCACATATTACCATCAAAAGTAGGAGAAAACATCCATTTCATAATGAGAAATGCTCTCCAGACATAGCATGGTGAATTGCTGCCAATAAATTAGATTGTGTTTCAGGATTTTTTTCTGTTCTTCAAGCACAGGAGAAAGCCATAGTAGGGCTGAGCTAGAAGGAAAATTCATTAAAGGTAGTGCTAGACCAGTTCACTACTAATACTTCTGCTGTCATATTTGGTCCATGAAGCGGTGTTGAAAGCTGACAAAAATTTAGCTTTTCTATTTCTCAAATGCATAATTTCTACCTCCCTAATTAATAATTTTTTAAAAACTTAAAAAAACAAAACCCTAAAATTAAAACTGAAACTGATGTTTTAATTTAGAGAGGGAGGGAGATGTAAATCAAGAACTCTACATATAAGGTACTAGAGAGCCCTAGTTTTGTTATTTTTCATTTTCTAAAAATCTACATTATTATTACTGATAAATACTTAAATGAATGCCTTGTAGGCTGTGAGAAATAAATATGGCTATACACAAGAATAAGCAGATTCAACAACCATATTACCAAGAAGTATTTAAATGCATATCAAGCAAGATTTGAGATACAACTGTGGCTATAATCAAGAACAAGTGGAGTCAGAAGCAACAGATGAAGAGAATAATAATAATATACTTATTATCATCTTGGAACTGCAGAACTGGAAGAGACCTACAGAGTCCAGCCCCTGTCAAGGAGACACAGAGGGGAACTGAATTCTCAACATCTGGCTGAGCAGCCAGAGTCCCAAATCAAGAAGAAGAGGAAGAATGCATAGCAAGGAAACTACTACGTGCTTGAAAAGAAAGAGGATACTATGAGCCATACTCAGTTTTATCTTCGGAAGATACAGCAATCAAACCAAGTAAGAAGAAAATTGGAATTACTTACGGGTTCCCATGTTATTATTATATAAAATGCACAACAAAAAACCAAAAACCCAACAACTCTAAGATGGCACTTGGGTTGATTGAGTGGTGTTTTTTTTTGCATGCCCTTATCTAGCTAATTAATGCTAAAATAATCAAATTTGCTTGAGAAAACACTGCAGTATGACATAGAGAAGAGTTAAGAATAAAATCTTAATGGACTTGTGTACATGATCTCATCAAACAGCTCCTCAGAGGGGTGTCTTCTGAATGTTATATGGCTGGATGCCATGTAGAGCTGAGAAGTAACCGCAGCAATAATGAGATCTCCCGGATAGTAATACTTGTGCTTAAAAGAAGGAGGATTGCTGGTGACACATTTAGAGGTAGAAGTCTTGCACAAGACTTGAGACAGCAACGCCAATATTGACCCCAAGAAGGGAAACATCTTCAGCGAAAATCTACCTTCCAGACACTGATTCACTTTTCCAGCATTTTAACTCCAGTGAGTCCAAATGAAACAGTCAGGAAAGTGCAGCTGCTAACAGGGAGCAAGAACTGAAGTCTGAACTCAAATTAGAGCAGGAATATTAATAGCATTGTTCTGCTTTGCTCCATTGTTTCCCTTCGCCCTGAAACATTTGAGGGACTCGAGAAGTAAAAAAGTTTATTACAGTTATTTTGATAATTATAAGGCAGGTAACTACATCCTTTCTCTACCACATGGCAAGGAGGAAAAAGGTATTGATCAAATTTCATTAGAAATGATTTGTAAGCACCTGAGGGAATAGCAAGAGATACACATAGGATTGCAGTGAGAAGTAAGATTATGCCAGCAGGGGGAAAAAGTGATGACGAAGTTTTCTAATCTGCATTTGTAAATATGGCCTAGATTTCATTCATGCGTCAAGCTGTCCCAGGTTTCCAGAAAAGGAATCAAAATATGTTTGTCTATATTATTTTATTGGCAACTCTGAAAGGTAGATTTCTTTCCTTTCGCCACTCAGAAATAAATCACCATCATCATCAAACAATGGTATCAAGACATGAGTTCT